CCCAAATGTCGTCTGCAATCTGCAATCCAAGCTGCGCTACAAGGTCAACGAGAGTGCAGCACAAGCCCTACTCAACGCACTGCAAGATCAGCTGACGAAAGACATCCCCAAAACCAAAACGAACCTCCAAAGACCAAGCTCAGGCGGCCATAGGGGGGGTTCACAGGCCCTAAACCCAGAGGTCTGCAGCTTGGCAGCTGCCCAGGTGCTGAGAGCTTGGGGCCCTCAAGCTTGGGCAGCAGGGGAGGCATCGCGCCCTGCATTTTTCTTGGGCGTTTAAGGGGCTTCGGGAAGGTTCTAGAGTACCTTAAACATCTACCAATACATGAGATACAGTATGCCCTTTTTGGAGGTTTGTTGCTCTGGGTAAGAGCTCAACGGCGCTTTACAGGCAGCAGCCTCGCTGGGATTCGTGATCAGGCTTGGAGGGCTTTGTCAAGATGGCGCCCCATGAGCTGAGTTTCGGGTGCGCAGATTGTCTCACAGCCCCCCCCCCCCCCAAAGAAAAACACAAAAAAGGAAAGGGAAATCTCCTGCATAAACCTCTAAAACCTCAAATCAAAAAAAACCTAAACACTAACCGACCAAAAACCTGGAGCACACGACGCCATGGGGGCCCCTAGTTTTCGAATCCCAACGCTGGTTTCTCACTACAGAAAGCAATGCTGAAAGAACAAGTCTTCATTTCATTGGTGCCACCATCATTCGTAGAACTTGGATTGTTCCTTTTGGAATTGAATTGGCCCACCACAACAAACACGGAACTTGGACGGGTGCTGGCCCACAAACAGCAAGCGTTAAAGTTGAATGAGTATACTGGGTCATTGTACAGGAGAACATCCGGATGGCTATTGACCACAACAGAGCGCGTAGACATAGAATGGGTATTGAGCCATAACATGGAAATTCGGAAGCCACAGTGAATGAATTAACTACCATGTTCTTTTGGGGGGCAGTATCCCCGAATCGTTTTTGTTTGGCAGAACAGCAGCATGCCTAATAAAAGAGCAAAATGAAAAGGTTGCGCTTTGAGTAGGCGTAAGCTTATACTAGGAAACACTGCATGAAATTATCTACACAGGGAATATCTGAAAAAGCAGGTTCGAGTAAACAAGTATGAAATGTATACGGGAAGTAAATCCCATATACGTATTGAATCTCTGAAAACGCAGGCCCCGATGAAGTTGGCTTCTGCAACAACAACTTAAACGGACCTAAACACCACTTGCCTCCCCACCCCCTTCCGAACCTCCCACTGCCAAAACGCAGGGGGTTTCGCCTCATGGGCCATTTAGCGCCTTCCAGGCGCGCCCGGCCCAAGGCCTGACACGAAGGACGCAGTCAGGGTTTATAGGATTTATGGTAGGGTGTACATGGACTTATGGCAGAGTTTATAGGGTTTTGACCTGCAGGGCTTATACCCGTAGGGGCAGATGATAGGACTTGCGGGGCTTGTTGCTGTTTGCGGGTTCAGCGGACGTACTGCAACATGGCCGCCCTCCGCGTGTGCCGTGTGCTAAAACCCACACGAGCTTGTAGCACAGAGGTACCATGATTCTGAGCGACAGGTTTATAGGGTGAGTTAAGTGGTTTAGAGCAAGGCTAAGTTGAATTAATGCCTCAAACGCTTTCCTGACGCTTTCTTCCTTTTTTTTTTTTTTTTGGGGGGGGGGGGGGGGGCGTTTTGTTACCGGGATGCGAGCCTTGGGTGCCTGGGCAACCTCAGAGGCCGCAAGGCTACGACTGAATTGGGGGACAGGTCTTCGAAGTGATGTAGGTCTCATGAAGTGTATTCGATGCAAGAACAAAGGAATGGCTACTCTAGTTACCCTTTCATTGGTTCTTGAAGCGAGAAGACAAGCATGAACTTTTAGCAGTATTTTGAGTGCTTAAACGGGTATGACGCATGAGGATGGGGCATGTTGATCCATCGTCCGTCACAGGCCGGAAGCTTGCCAATGAAAGTCAGAACCCTGAGGACCCGTAGAAAAGCCCTTAAAGCCCCAAAATTCTTAACGTCCAGTGTGAGCAGTCGGCGTTAACTTCGGACGACGGTCATGTTTCTCCGCGTCGCTGTCGACTCATCCCATACCGCAGGATACCGCAGTTGCAGGCCTCCTCAACAATGAGATGCCGTCTGCATGAGTTTAGCGCACGCTTGGATCTGCATAATTCGAGGTACTGCTGTCCACGAGAGCCCTGAGGGGAAAGGATCCTTGACTGCGGTCAAAGCAGATGCTGAGAGAAGGCCGAACTTCTCATCTTCGCTAACTAGCACACTGCAGCTTGAACAAGCTATCGATATGCTGCACAGGAGGCTAGCCCGAGGTCACACGAAAACGCTCAACGGTATATGCGATCAAAAACATGCTGCTGCTCCCTTCTGCTGCTAACTTCCGCTCGTGTTGGCGCTGTCTAGGGTCTAGATTTGTTCACCTAGTGGTACAGTATGCAACTGCAGGCAGTCCAAAAGCTGCTCACTTCTCTTCCTTGAGCTCTTCCTGGCAGAAATGCAGTTTATGTAGGCTGGTGGCAGGAGCCAGATATCTGATCGGGGCTTGCGGCATACAGTTTGTCTCAACAGTGGAGAGCTTGGGGTTGAGGGGCTGGAACGGACGCAGTTCAGGGACGCTAGTGGTACAAGGGTGTTTTTGCTTAGGGTGTTAAATGCCTGGGCCAGGGGCCTCAGGGGATTCCGTAAATCTAAATCTGAGATGACCCTAAACCTTATACTGAACTTCTGAACCCTAGCCCAAACCCCAACAGGACCTTGGACTTCAGACGACCTCTCAATACGTCCTAAAGAGGGCGGAGATGACAAAAGAATGAATCTACTACCATACGGCCCCGTCAACTCAAGACTCCCAATGGCATTGGCATTTGGGGCAAATGGCCTGGGATTCTCCACAAGACTTTTTAGGTGCCAGACGGCGCTTCTCAAAATGAGAAACTCCACGAAGGCATCGACAGCCTTCTAAGCAACCCCTTTGAATCTCCAACAATTTGAAAAGCCCCGGGCCAACAAGCCAGCAAAGGCCTTGCTGTCAGAATCAAAGCAAAACCCACAAGACGGAAGCCACGAAAATATGCGAGTCATGGCAAGGTACCTTCTTCTGCCGCTTGACCACGCTGGGGAGGAGCATGCCATTCTGCATCCTTGAGTCCAGTCTCACTAACTACGCATGCGGTAGCTCGTGGTTCGACAGATTCTGCCTCATCGGCCATAGAAAGGGGTTCCTGTAAAACGCTGCTTGGTGCACTTTCCTTTAATCTGAGAGACTTCGCCTGGCAATGTCTTCAGACTGCCGGGACCTATCCCTAATGATGCAGCTGCTTCCTCTCATTCCCCTACGCACATGACATGTCCCCCCCATAATTCAAGCTTGACCTTGGCATGTCTCAGACCCAACACGATTCAAGCAGAACGGGGCATATGCCATATGTATTTCCTCGCGACCTCATATGTTGGTCCGTTTGGGGATATGGCTCGGCTAATTTCTGAGCTTTGAGCCTCTAGAGGAGAGGACACTTGCGCAAAGGTCAAGTCCAAACCATGAAGCCCTTCCCTCCCTCTTTCCACCGATACAGCTGAGCATCAACTCCAGCGCAAGCATGCGCCATAGACGCTCGACTAAAGGCTCGGCATACTCGTCCAAAAACCTGCGCGGCAGCTGTTCTGGCATATTCTGTCTTAGTCCTAGTTCCATGATGTTCCAGGCGTTGCACACACACACACACACACTTCCTGGAATACCCTAGAACCGCCTGTCTCGTGTTTCCAGCATTTACGATCACAGGCTATTTTGAGGAGTCGCAGCAGAAGCTCGCGCAGGACAAGAGCAGCGTGTGACACCGGGATTCCTTAAGCAACAAAGATTCACAAACAGAGGTATGAGTGGCTCCAAGCAAAGGCATAGGGAACGGAAAAAACAGAAACAAAGTCCTAAACTCCGCAACTCTTGCATTGAGCTCTTCCACGTGTCATGCAGCCTTCTAGCTCGTAACCTTGTAGAGCCATCCAAAGAAGACTTGTGCGCCCTCTTTAATGTGCCACCCGCCTGAACAGTCGAAACTGATTTTGTCCCTTCTGAAACGGTCCACGGGGTTTTACATGATTTTGTCCCTCTTTAAAAGGCCCGCTATGTTTTTGAAAGGGATGAGGCTATAAAAGGGACCGCGGACCGCGAGGCCCTACAATTGATTTCAAGGCGCGCCGCACGAAACTTTCTTACGACACCCGCGATCCTGAATAGCCCGACAGGTTTGACTGAAGAGGGTGCAACATAAATACAGAGCACCCAAAACGGCAGACTCGATAACCCTCAACGACTCGATAACCCTCAACCCCCGATTCATCAAACCTTTCTCCCCCTGAACCCAAAAACCCCCTGAGCCACCTCTCCAACTCGGCTATCAGCGGGTCCGGCTGCACCGCGCCATTTACCTTTGGCTCCAGGCCAAGACTTTCAACTTTCGAAGCATCCTTTGATGTTGCGGGTTTGCGATCGGTCCCTGTTTAACAAAATGCAAGCATTGCTTAAACGTGGTCCAGTGCCAATATCGCATCGTCAACCTTGCTAAACGCGTTTTGAACTCGCACGGTATGTCCACGGCCTGCTCCTGCTGCGAAGTGCAGTTGTCCCGACTTGCAGCGGGCAGTTGCCATGTTAGGCCTTAGCCTCTGGGAGAATTACACAAAAAGAAGCCCTAACATGGCACCTTTAAACACAAAGCCCCACACCATGGCCTTGGGCCAAGTGGTTGGAAGACAGGCCCCAGCCTCTTCGGAATCTTGCTCCTCAGGATCAGAACTTATGGCAAGCGAACTGGCATGGGTCTTTCGGTATTGCTGGCTGGGGCCTTTAGGGCTTACGATCGCAGGTAGAGTTACCGTGCGAAGTGGGCAGCTCACGACCTCCAGCTTGGCCAGTGGCCTGGCTGCATCCTCCGAGATTAACAAACATTTCTAATTCCTGCAGACTTTGCCTAAACCGCTAGAGCTACAACCACGCGGATTTGGACGGAGCAGTATCTGCAATTATTCTGCTCTGGTCTTCGGCATCTGCCGGCGCCATCTCCTGTTGCGCCTGCTCGGAGGACGCGCTCATCGAAGGCAAGTCTTTCAACCTGCTGGCGGAAATCTTGGACGACGTGGACATCAGCTGTGATCGCTGTGTCAGCAGCAAGGACGCCTCCCCCACCTCGGAGCCTACAGCCGTCATGATCTGTGCCGTCATCCGCAAGTCGTAGATGGAAAGGTTCTCCAGGAGTTTTCTGAGGTTGTTCTCACCCAATTCCTGGATCCGTTGCGACAGAAGGGAGAGCTTCTCGCTGAGAACTTGCGGCTGAGGAATGGGTCCGAGAGCCAGCAGCACGCTTTCTTGAGATCCGCCCATGACATTCAACCGGATCAGCGCGGACAGTGTTATGCCGAGCATAAGGAAGACCATGCCATTCAGGAAGAAGATGATGCCAATCACGACATTTGTAAGCTGCCGCATCGTGTCTTGGCTCAGGTCGGGTGCGAATGCTCCGAGAATGGCCATCATCAGAATGAGGCTGAAACTAATGGTCGCGTCAAAGGCATTCAGGGCTGGCAACTTCCAGGGCCACGTCATGAGCTGCACAACCATGTAAGTCATCATGACGGTCACAATGATCAACATCTGCACATAGGGGTTGTCACCCGCGGCCACAATGGCAAGTGAAAGCAGCAAACCTCGAGGCATCATGAAAGTGCCATACCACCAGCTGTCACTACGGAAGCGGAAGAGCAGAAAGCGAGTTGCTGCAAGGAACCATGCATCGCCGCTCGAGGCCCTTTTCGGTGCGATGACTGTGGCGAAAATGGCTAGGGCATAGAAGCTGATCATGCCGAAGAGCACAAGCATACCGGCGATAAACATGGGTGTGTGCTCAGCGCTCTCGAAGCAGAAAATGCCGTTGTGCTCTAGCATCCCGCTCTTGCCATTGGGATGTGAGTAGCACATCACTGGCGACAGCGCTATCTTACTGTAGATGGTGAAGGAGACCTGCATGAATTGACCCAGGGTGCTGACCAGCTTTGCATTGTCGAACCGCCACCGTGCCGGCAAGAGTCTGCTGAGGAAGCTGCAGATGATGAGCCACACCAAAGCACAAGGCAGCATGATGGCAGTCAGATGGTAGCCGGCCACTGGTGAGCTTGACACACAGTCGAAGCCCACTGCCTGCAAGTCCAAGGTGAAGATGCTCAGCAAGTCAAACATCCACTGCAGCTGTGACGGCCATGTGAATGATATGTAACCCACTATGCCAACATTCTGAAGCATGCTGATGGTCATTGCAAGTGCGCATGAAGTGGCCAACATCGTCGTGGCTTTCGCGGACTGCCTCATGTTCATCATGTAGTAGAGCGCCGGAACGGCAATGACGCCGACTGTAGCTCCGGCCAACCAGCCAGCAAGGCCGAGGGACGTACATTCTGCACAAGCGTTTGTATCCCAGGCCTGGCCAGCTGGGCACTGGGTGCAAGGCACTCCGACGCGTCCTCCGTAGCATGTTCCGGGCAAGCCACCCGGACAGAATTCCACTGGAAGGCATTTGTACACATCGAAGGGAGCACTTGAAGATGTGAAGTAGCCGGACTGCACCACCGCAGTACGACCTCCGTTGCAGGTCAAGCCTTCGAGGCATTGCAGGCACTGGCCAGACTCGTAGCGCGTGTTCCCAGAGCAAACGATGCATTCACCCTGGAACAACTCACCCTGGCATTGGCATGCCTCGATGTCAACGGCGCCTGAAAAAGTGGTCGTCCGCCCCGGTGGACATTCCTCACACTCTGCAAGTCCCTTCTGAGCTGCATAACGACCAATCGGACATTTGGTGCAGGACGTTGACTCCGTCTCGTTCGCAGAAAAGCCCTGGCTGCACAGCTCACACCCATCTGCTCCAAGCACGTTGTTGAAGGTCCCCGTGGCGCAAGGATGGCAAGCTCCGAGGCCAGAGACGTTGGCAAATGTGCCGACATTGCATGGCTCGCACTCCAGCTTCCCAGCTGCAGCAGACCTCCCCTTCTCGCAAGCCACGCAGCCAAGCTGCACAGAGAAGACAGTGCCTGCGGGACACTGAGCAATGCGGTCTGATGGCACCCAGGCAGCTTCCAAAGCACAAGTGCCGTTGCTACAAGGGACCGACTTGCTGTCATAGGGACTCCACACCAAATCAGCAAGCCACAAAATCCCCGCTGTGGTTCGTTGCGCCAGTTCCGTGAACTCATTGCCAGGTCCGCCAGTGATCTGCCGGAGGAGTTGTACCCCATCGCGATCACCAAAGGAGGGAGGGACGGTCGTCGGCTCAATGCTGTTGAACTGCCGGACCCGCCCCGTCAAGCCCACATAGTCTTTCCCGAGGGACAACTCATACAAAGCTGCCCGGGAAGCTATCGTTCCTAGCTCCGACAGTGAATGGTTTTGCTCAACCAGGTAGGTGTGTAGGAGGGAGGCCAAGTGCCAAAGGCCATCGTAAAAGTACCCGGTCCACAAGTAATCGCAAGCTCCTAGTCCATTGGCAAATGCCTGGCACTGGGTGTTGTAGAAGTTCCAAATGTCACTCAACCTAGTGCCTGAAAGCCCATGAAGTTCGCTGGTGCTTTGGATCGGCGATCGGCCGCTGACCATAAGACCTCCAGAAACCCTAGCCAGCTGATCAGCTGTGCAGGGGCACTCCGGCGTGCCAGCCATGATGGCTGTGATGTTGTTGACCCAGTTGCCAAATACCGCGATGAACCAGACATAGTGGGGAGGCAGCATGTCGCGCAAATAGAACTGACACAGGACCCACATGCCGATGTACTCCGGGAGGACCATCATGTTGATTCGCGAGTCACGCGCTTTCACCTCATCCGCTGCGCTTTGAGCGTCCGCAAGGCTGTTGACACGTCGGTCCAGCAGAACCGTCCAGTTGTAGGTACCCGCATCCAGGTCCCGCTGAACGAGCTCCAGAAAGAATTCCTTTGCACCGATTGTGTAGATAGGCCCATCCATGACGCCGACACGTTTCCAAGAGAACATCTTGAAGACCTCATAGATGGCAGTGACCTTAAAGCGGTCAGAGGGAGCCATCCGCGCGAAATAGGGGTATCGTTGCCGGTCGCTGAGGCTTGGTGAATCACATCCGGGTGAGATCTGGAGCACCTTGAAGAGGCGCGCAGCATCGCTTACCGCGGCACAGGCCTGGCTGCAGGAGTCGCCCAAAATCGCGTGCTTGCGCGGTCCCCGGGTGAGGGCCTCGATGGTGGCCTCCGTTGCTATGGCCTCATCGCAGCCGGAGTCGGTCAAGTGCAGGTTGATCCGGTAACCTGGGAGGTAGTTGCTGTCCTCAATTTCCTGTGCAGCAAGGGCAAGGAGAGGCTCGGCCATGGTAAGCAAGTCTCCGATGACGCCTGTGTAGGGGTTAATGACCGCGATGTTGATGTCTTGTGCCCCTGCCCTGCCAGCACTTCGGTTCACGTCCACCGTGCATTGGCCACCGTTGTAGTATCGGCACGGCCACGGCGTATTGCCCGTAGCAGTACACGTCTCCGGACAGATGGCGGAAGCAGGGGGTGCCAGATGAAAGAAGGCCAAAGAGAGGCCAAGCCATGGCAACGTCATGGACAGCACGGGCATCACAGACTTTGCGGGAGCTACAAAGAGTGCTAGAGTTTTAGAGGTAGGACTAAAACACACAGAGATATACATATACATATACATATATATATATGTATATATGAGGTTTAGAGTTTCGAGCGGTGTGGGCGCAGAAGAGCAGGGCCCCTGTCCATCGGATAGCAAGGGGTGTAGGACTACATATGGCTGCAGGGGTAGCTGCTGAGGCCCGAAGGCACAAAAGTCCTCCAAATCATCCAAGCGTATCCAAACTTATCTGCAGGAAAGTTCCTTGCCCCTCCTTGATTTAGAAAAGATAAACCCTGCCACCAAGTCCAAAAGACCCGTCGGATGATGAGCTCCACGAGGTCCGAGGTCTGGCCACCCATATAGAGATCCTTTGGTCGGGACACTTTGTTAGGCCACGTGCCTCCAACACTCCATGGGGACTCAAGGGCTGAAAAATTGGGTTTGGGGGATAACAAGCGTCTTTCTGGGCGCCGATGCCTACAAACGGCTCCCATGGGTTCCCCATCTTCGTGGGGATTGTGAAGGGCGCGCTCCTGCTGTTAACCCTGATGCCCTACACTCGATGGCAGGTGCAACAAGTCAGTGTGGGGCCAGCGATGGTCCGACATGAAGAACCTCCATGTCGATTGATGCTGCACTTCTAGATGAGCCCAAGTCTGACGCCCTGGAAGCTACTTATGGGGCTACTGCTGCGTCGAGCGTCGACTTTCCGCTCCAGCCAAGGCCGTAGCTTTCGTTCGAGTATCCGCTCGTTGCGAAGGTAGGTGGTGTCCAACTTCCTTGTTTGTAGCTCTTATTACTCAGGCTGAAGGATGTAAGGCGGTGCAGCATGGCAGATGGCTTAAGCGGCTTAAACAAGTCTGAACCCAAAACCTGAGACCTGAGCATCAGGAACGGGCCAGGCGTCACAAGTCTTTGGGCTCTACAAAGTTGGGCTCAAAGACTGACGGTTCCGGTTTCCTGGTCGTGGATATGAAATGGGCCTGATCAGATTAGGGTGCACGACTTTTCTAGGGTATTAGAGGTTTATAGCATTTGCAGCGTCTATGGGGGTTTGCAGGGGCCTGTCGGGTTGGGGGCCTTCATGGGGGTTTTGAGGGTACCTCGCCAAACCAGGGCTCATGGTGAAGAGCTCCTCCCGAGGCTCCTCTTGGACCTGGTGGCCGACTGCTTTCGTTCTCTGGCTGAGGGTTTAGGGTCTATAGGGGTTGCGGTGGACTCACCGTTCTCCGGGGTTCTTCAGGCGATTTTGGGGAGCCTGCGAACGGCGGCAACATTTGGGGAGTAGTGAGGAGATTTGGCAACTCCCAGGACCCAGTTCGCAGAAACAACTCCCAAACACCACACGGCCCTAAGGGAAGATGCATCCAGCCAAAAAAGAGACAGGCATGTGCTGAACGGACTTGCCAGACCCCGATGCCTTCTCTACCATCTGCATGAGCGCCCGGTTGTCCGCCAGCTGCGCTACATTGAGGGTGCGAACAAGGCCGTCGTCGGCCTCGCCCGCAGGTGGAGTGGGACTTCCCCTCAGACTTGCAAAACGCGAAGTCAACGAAGCAGTGCGCCGCAAGTGCGCATCAGTACGGTGATTGTTTCGTGGATTTGCGTTCTTCTAGATATAATTGCAAGTAGTAACTGTTACCATTACCAAGCGACTTCTGCATGCTTCTGGCCTCCAGCTTCTCCAGCTTGAGCTCCTTCCTCTGCTTTTCTTGGACCTCACGGGGTGCCGAGATCATCTTTGGCAAACCGTACACACTGGCTGCACAGCAACCTACAGTTTACCTAAAGGGTGGGACGCGGTCGACTAGCCAGATGCGTGGCCTTGAAGGCATGTCACTCGCCTTTCCGATCCTACAAGGCAACCGCAGAAGCCGCATGCGAATCCGAAGGGTCCCTCCACAACCTCCAACATCGACAACCACAAACGGAAAGCTGACTCTAAACATCCGAGAAAAGCGCACAACTGCCGAAGCTCCAAGAGCATCCTACCATGCAAGCACCGTGCCCAAAGAGAGGAAACACTGAGCAAGCACGGCCGGGGACTTTTTTGAAGGAGCCCACCTACACTGGCACCTCCTGTTTCATGGGATCCTTTACATGAGATGTACCATCGGGCCAGGAGTCCCTTCTTGGACTCGCACAAACAAGCGAACCTACCTTAGGAGGGTATAAACATCAAAAACGCGATGCATGGGTATGCCTCAATAAACTATGCAACCCCTATAAATCCCATAATAAAACCCCATAAACTCCTACATGTTTATCTTCCTACTGTTTAAGAACCCAAAACAAACTCTCTACAAAGCCTTACGGCGGCCTCGAGCTCCTCCTTGGCTCGGTCTGCATCGTCCCTTTCCCGCTCCTCCTCGCGGAGCCTTTTCTCGGCGGCTTGGAGTCCTCAGCTTTTCTACGCGCAGCCTTTTGTACGTACTCCCCCCCCCACCCCCCCTCAGTTTCAGGAACAGAGAGAATGCAGACCTCAGACTGTAAGTCATACGACACAGAACCCGAAATGAGCTTAAGGTGCGTTTGATGCGTTTGCTGTTTGCTTGAATTCAGGGTTGTTGGGGGGGGTCTCTGGGTAAAACTGGGTGGCCCTTCAAGCTCAAAGGATGGCCACAGGGGTGGCCTCTCGTAGGCTCGGAAGTTAGACTTACAGCTATACTTACCATACTTCTGAAGGCTGTTCATGAGAAGTTCGTGGACCTTGCAAGTTGATTCGCCACGAGAATTCCTCCCCGAGTTTCTCCAGTTCAGCTGACGCAAATGAACCCTCGACTGGTTAGCACTACTTTCTCAATGCCTTCTGTTTTGGACCCGTGCTATGCCCTGAATCTCCACATGCCCAGACCCTGTGTCCCCAACCTCAAAAACCTCGGTCCCTCCTTCATAGCCGGCAAAATATTCGGTTGAAGTCTCATCTCCACCGAAACGCCCAAGGACGTCTTGCAGAATTCGTGCATCCTAAAGCCTCTCCACGCGATATTTCAAGATGAGCATCTGTCGAGCTCCCGGCCGAACTCTGCCTCGCGCCACGCCTTGCGCTTCCTCGCCCGGTCCACTCCTCAGGTGAGGTGCAACTCAAGGAAAGCTGCAAGATTAGGACGCGCCTGAACCAAATTGAACTTCTTTGGAGAACTGCAGACCCGAGACCGACACATGACTAAAGTCAGATGGCGTGTATAGCGTGCAAACATCGCAAGCGTACGTCTTGACCTTGCCACCCCTCGCCTAGCTACCTCAAACCGCTCGCTGCAGGAACCTGAAGGAAGCAGAGGGTAGTGCGGACAATTCTTCCAAGTGGACAAAACAATAACTTTGTCCTGCCCCTGCAACCTGCGGCCCAAAGACCGTGGCTGCAAGCGCGCCTACTTAGTGTACTTGCTTCAGCTTGAGATCCCTGATGGTGGTTCCCTTTTCAAGCGCGTTCAAAGCTGCCAGCCGCCAAGTGGGCCCTTCCTTGTTCATGCAACATGGCCTCACCGCAAGTGCCTCACAACACTGTCACACACGGCCACTAATCGGGAACCTCACGCGGCTGAATTTCAGACTCGTGGTTCTGCCATAGCTCATTGCTGACTGCTCCTCAGAGCCGTCTTGCCTGACCTGTGAATGGAGTAAAGGGGACGGTCATGCCTGATTCAATCAAGGCCGATTGCTCCGTGTAGCCACTGTGATCTCGATGACGCCGACGCCGCCGCTCACTGCTACGATCTCCCGGGCCCAACTGTGCGCCGGCGATGTTCGCAAAGCCGCTGTCCTTGAAAAGCCACCATGCCAGGGGAACGCCCAGAAGGGTTACTGCAATCGTGGCGAGACGTATGCCGGCCAGGATGTAGGTTTTGGTAGACGGCGGTGGTGGGGGTTGCGGGAGCCCATTGATCACCAGGTGCATGATACTGGCTATGTCTCCGGAGCCCACAACGAAGCACATCACACCCCACAAGCACAACTCTAGAAGGTGGATGTTCTCACGAATACCAAGGTAGCCGAAGGCAAGCATGAAGATCATGCCGTACGCGCCCATGATGTCCAAGAAGAGAACTGCCCGAGCCGCGCACAGCAAGCTCTGCAAAACAAGGACGAACTTCACCCAGGGTCGCCTCGACAGGGCATAAGCGGAAGGTGGAACATCCATGGCACGCGTCTCCAGCCTTCGAAAAATCTTGGGGACTATAGCCGCGAAAGCCTCAACGGTTGACCCCACACTTGAGCCAACACGGAGGGGGGGCGGCTCCATTCGGTTCTTTCAAAGGGGAGGCAGGCCTGTTGGCTCCCAAACTTCTGCCGCTTCCTGACCACAACTGCTCTATGAAACCTCTCCGCATGCTGTGGAACCACCGCACGCTGTCCTGACGTGCGCTGTGTTACGAGTCCCTGCAGCCCTTTGAAGCAAGATTGAGGGCCCTAGGGGATGCGGGTCTGCTTTGCGAGTTTAGGGGAATCCCAGAGAATGGTAAGCCCTCAGTGCTTTGCACGCTGCAAGCCAGTGGCGCTTCTGCTCTCGCTCTCGCAGCTCTTTCCTGCCAGGAGAGGTGGTGGAGGGAAGGCTTTGCAGTTCAGGAAAGGGGGGAGGCGAGGGCTCAGGGGGGGCTCAGGTTTCCTCTGGTACAGCACGGTTTGGTTTCGTAATCGTTGATCTTATGGTTCCCAACCGATACCCTGACTCTTACAGCGACCTTCCAAAACCGACGACCATGAATTGGACAACGAAGCACAAACAAAAAAAAAGGACAGCAACTACCCGGAGCTATCTCAGCAGTCCTCCTCTGAGCAGCAGCACCTCCAGAGACATCTGAGGCACCATACCTTGGTCTAAACTGAGCAGAGCTTCGAGGTAGCAGGCTGCAAAGTTGCAACGTCACACCTCGTCACACTTCTTGAATCCTTCTCAAGGCTTTGGATTCTTCCCTACCTGCAGGTGTATGCAGGTGTCAGGTGTGTTTGAGGTTTCTGGTTCTGCCGCGCCCCAGCAGCTTGCACGAGCACCCCCTTTCCTTCAAAAACCATGAGCCGAAGTGCCGTGAAGTTTGAGGCCCCCTTGGGTTGGAACACGCTCGGAGGGTTTAAGATCTGCGGCCCGGCTGCAGCTCCTCAATCTTGGAGTCCAGGAGCGCTTTGCAGCTTACAGCCGTCCGCTCCAGCTCCCACTCCAACTCCTCGTCCTTGGATGAGCGGCTCTATTTTGGGGATCCTTTGCTTGAGGGGGTACGGCTCCAAGGTTCCGAGGACGAAAACCTGACTGTGGCATAGGGGCCCAGATGGGTCCAGAAACCTGCGCTGCAGAATGCCCTACAGAAATGTCCTCCCATTCCCCCCCCCCCCCACCCCGGCGCCAAAAAAAACAACGAACGCTACAAATCCGCTTCGTCATTAAAGCAGAAACAGACGCATGCAGCCACGCTTCACTGTTTACGCGATAGACGGCCTTCTGAGAGGTCTTCCACCTGAGGATGACTTGCTCCGTGTTCTCCTCAAGCAGAACCTCGCACCCGCAAACGCTGTTTTGAGAGTCCCGAGAGTCTAACCTAAAAGACTTGTCTCCCAGACTCTGATGGAAATCCCATAAAACATCTCCAAGTACCGGAGGCAGGACAAGGCACTAGGACCCTGCCTTATGTCAGCTCTCCCTCTAAACCCTCTCTCTTTGCCAGGGGATCATCATGGGCCGTAAACACGCTACTCTACAACCCCAAATTTTGAATGCCTCTTTGTGCACCCTCTGGGCCCCAAACACGAAATACTCCCAAACCCCATGAACCCTCTGGATCATGGCTCTTCAACGGTCCTTTTGGAGATCACGTCCCGAACTCACAGGGCCCTCAAGAGCACGCTAAGAGCCCTTCAACACACCCACACATTCTAAGCCCTAGCGCTCGCCCTACAAAAGTTCTGTAGACAAATGGGCGTTCTATTTCCCAGAATAGGAGATGACCTGACCCCCCCCTCAACCCCCCACCCTGGTCTACTCCGTACCTCTGATGATTACGAACAGGAACACCCGAAAATGGTGTGTATTCCCAAACGTCACTCCAGGTGAGCCTTGATCTCCTGGCCTGCCAGGCGCCTTTTGTTGAGGCCTTGGGGGGCGGCTGGGCTTGCAAGAGTTGCTCCGAACAAGCCATCGAATACCACAGAAGCAGCAAGCTGAAGATGCCGGCAGGATGTGCTCCAGGGTCTTTCGGGTTTTGGGCTCAGGGTCCTGCACTCTTAAACCGATGGACTCTTGAGACCTTTCGGTGAACAGGTTTGAGGGCGCTACAGGTGCAGCCAGGTGCTGGCAACCACGAACCCTGCATGTTGACTGGGAGGTGCTTTGCACTTTGCACACGAGTTGAGATTCAACTCGCTAGGATCAGGCTATTAGTAAGTGTGTAGCTGCTGGAATTTAATATTCCGCAAAAAGAAGAAACAAATTCACATGTAATGTGACGTGAACAATGCCTGTAATGAATTCTTATAAGCATGAAACCGTGCAACCCTATTCTTGTTCACTCTTTGGGCAAGCTATTATTGAAACCAACTGATAAGATGAAATAACTGTACACATACAAAACCCATTTTTATCAGACTTAGAAGAGGGATTTTATCGCTTGCCTTGGTAGCTTCCTGCCTTTTGGAGCTCTGATTCATGTCGTCCAGCAAACGCACCCCGATAACCCTGCTTTTGGGAAGTGATCTCGTGCATTTTCCTTGTCAGAACGCTGTTTCTTCAAGCATGGGCAAGAGGATCGGCAGACTCGCAGCTTGGCACAGAATATGATGTTTTCGTGCATGCGCATGTGCTTGTGTAAAGTGGGACAGGAACTCTGGACACTCAAAGCAAGGACACATCCTCTTCCTCTACCCGGACCAGCTTATATCTCCAGGTCGCATGTGAACGCTTTCCAGGCGGACTCTGCGTCTGCAAACTGCGCGACACCGAAGCTCATCGGGCCTTGGCAAGCCCTGCACATCATGTTGCTCGGGCACAACTGTTCGCACACCCGGCCCAAGACCTCTCGCACAATCCTTCTCCCTCATGTACGATCAAGCATCCCATAATGCACAAACCGAGTCCGATTGGTGTTTTGGGAGGGTTCGCTCATTGCATGTGAGAGGCGGCCCTCTGCATCCTGCCCTCGCCGAAAAGCCTGCAAGAGTCTGGAAAGGGTTTCTTGTGGTAGCAGGCTCATCAACCCCAAATGCTGGAAACTTTCTGGAAGCATGAACTGCATGAACCCAACACCGTCGCTGCGAGCAGACCTGGACATCTCCACACTGTTCGAGGATCTGCTGCATGTGCGACTCCTGCAACCCCGCTCGGGGGGGCGTAGGGATTTACGAAGGGTTTGGGTTTTGGGGCGGAACGTGATGTGGTTTAGGGCTCTCGGGGTGCAAGTTGCAGAGCTTGGGCACGTCCGACGGACGGGTGCTTGATTTTGCCCGTGAATGCTTCCCCGATTGCTCTGGTGGCCTCCACGTGCGTGGCGAGCTGAGCGATGAGCCTCACTCTTTCTTGTGTGGGCACGCTCCAGAAGGCAGCCCTAATCAAGCCGGACAGAGTTTGAGAAACATTAATAAAACTCTAAATACATCCCAAGAAACTTCTGCAAATCCTTTCCACACCTCCTCCCCCAACAAATCTCAACTTCTCAAAGGCGCATGTACAGCTGCGGTTTCCTGTCTGACGGCCCGCGAGCGGCGTCCTTCAGGCACGAGGGAGGGAACGAGGAAGAGAGAGAGGGGCTTTTTAAAAAAGTCGGCAGGCATTCGCTCAAGCAACCAGCTTGCAAAGCTTCTTTCTTCAACCACGCTTGTAAACCTTCAAGCAAAGGACCCATATCCTGTAACCCGGAAATATCCGAGAGCTCCGCACTGCAACACCTTGGCGCAGCCATCCATTCTCCGGAGCCAAAGATGTGCTACGGTCTCCTTAGCCCGAGTCCCCCTCCCCCCCTGTCAGGAAGGAGAGAAGCCCTTTGCCCGGTCCTGCGGGGACCCGGCCGCAGCGAGCTGCGCCAGCTGCTGCGGCAGCGAGCCACCCGCTTGTGGGGGTCGAGGAGGTAGAGAGGGCTCCTCGTTCTTTGCACATGTCGAGCGAGCCTTTGGGATTCAGGGCTCAGACTGCGACTAGGAAAAGTACTCTGGATGCATGTCTTCCTGTTGATCTGCAGATGCTGGCGGCATGTGAATGTGCAGGTTTGTCTTGAAACCGGGTTCGTCCTTGAAGGGGCCTGGGAGGGCCATCTGCCCCATCGGCCGGGGCGGGCACCCGCCCGGTAAGGTGCCGCCCATAGGAGGCATTGGCTGAAGCGGTCCTGCTGTGGATGCTTCTTGGTTGGTTTGGTTGTTCGAGGCTTAAAGGTGTCTGAAGAGAAGCAGGTTGTTCACTGTTCTTTGTACTTCGAATAAATGAAAGCCTGAATATGGTTGCATCTCTCTTGGGTTTCAGTATCCTTTACACACCTTTACAACTAATTACAGCACGGATTTCTGCTCAAGTGCTTCCAAGAGTCTAGGAGGTAAGGTATTGGCACAAAGGCCTCCCATGGCAGGCCGTGGCATCACTCCAAATGGCTGTACAACTCCTGGCAACTGCGTTGGTGCCGGCAGACCTGTCTGCCCCATGGGTTGGGGAAGGGTGCCTGGACATGGCATTGGGTTTAGTGGGGGTCGGGGCATGATGCTCATCGGGGGCATGCCAGGCTGGGGCATGCCAGGCTGGGGCATGCCAGGCTGGGGCATGCCAGGCATGCCTGGCTGCAAGCCAGGCGCCATGCCGGGCTGGGGCATGGGCTGGGTCATGCCAACCTGAGGCATCTGGGGCAGGCCTGGCTGGGGCAGGATGCCTGGCTGGGGCAGGCCGCCCGGCATCGACGGCATCCCCATCATCCCCAGCATCCTGCCCAGTTTTGTCAATGAAATTCCTCGGGCATTGGCTACTCGATCAGCTGCTCGAGCCCTTGTGGCCACTTGAACATCTACAGTCACACGCTTACCAGTTACCAGCATGAAACCACATGATCTAAATTCCTGTGGCTTCAAATCTGATTCCTGGAATTTCAAGCCCAGACATGTCCATGTTCTGGATTAGAAGGTCACAACTTCCGAGCTGGCAGGGTGTGCAGATGCACAATCGACAATTATCTGCGTGGCTCCTTGTTCTTCACTGTCACTCCGGTCCTAATTATCCTTCACCATCTGACCCGGCGCACCTCTCAAGGTCTGGACCTGCTCGCAGCTGAGAACTTTGCCGACTCCAGAATGGCCGTTCTTTTTTTGGACGGGCGCCATAGTTACAACTACGTCCTGCCCGAAACAGAAGCTTACAATCCATCAGGCGTAACCCAAACAGCAAACCTGCGGACAGCAAGGGTTGAGACGTTCTTAGCTCCTGAAGCAACGTGATGCTTTGGGCTATTTGGGCGTCTCGCACAGCGGCCGCAACCTTTTCGACGGTCCCAAGAAGACAGCCGGAACGCAATGATATGGAACACAATAAAAACAGTGAACCATAACAACGTAGTGATGGTCATCCGGACGCCGAAGCCTTCTCCACAAGAGCCCGCCGAGATCTCCTCCAATTCGAAGCATGTGGCGGCATGTGCTTTCGATTTCAGGCAAGGATCATGGGCCTCGGGGGCTTGGTGTGTGTGTTGCCCCACATATGCTCTGTCCGGAATATGTGCCGTAAAAGCATCATGAGCCGGCCAACCCTTCCCAAAATGCGAAACCGGAGTCTGCACCTAGTTGTTTCGCATGTTTCAAGGTTGAGCTTAGAAGATTACCCTTCATGATGAACGTCCTAACGTTGTCGTTCAAGGCCCGGGTCTATGAGCGATGCACAGGTCAGCTGCCGAAGGCGTTGGTGCATAAGCCCCCCCCCCTTCCCAGTCGAACGGCAACCACCCAACCGATGAAGCAAGCACAAATGCCAGAGAAACACGCGAAATCCCGCCAGTCTATGCGTTCCTCTACTCTCCGTCACTTCAATAACCTCCGACGACGTGAAACAAAGGCTGAACAAACACGAACAAGCGCCCGAGCTCCCCACGGCCGGCGCCCGAATGGCCGCCGTGGGAAGGAGCGCCGGCCATCGCGACTGGAGCCGAAAGCAAAAGGAGGAACCTTCGTTCGGACTTTGGAAGAGGTCGAGATCCCATATGCAATCCTTCTCAGAATTCATCAAGCTTACTGGGCTCTTTTCGGGGGCTCGGAGGCCTCAAGTCGGGAAGCCGGGCGTCGAGACTCGGATGTTTTTGGACGCACAGGGCCCAAAACCTCTGAGATATGTGACTGCGGGGGGGGGGGGGGGGGACAAGGGCCGGGGGAATCTGAAACTTGAAGGCCACCCGCATCCCACAACTAGGCGGCGCCACAGAGCGCGCAGCGCGCCAATGAAACCGCTGTGACCCATGGCTCCTTGCGTCTCAAGTTCCGGTCTGAAAGGAGCCAGGAGCCCGACCCAAAGTGCCAATTTGGAAGGCTTGACGAAACTACCCCCTCAGCCTTGGACGTGCAACCACCATCATCTCTTGCGAGTATTTTGCTTGCTCAACCTGTGCCTCAGTCATGCAGCAACGAGGCAGCCTTAAAATGGAGGAGCCAGGACTTCGTTGTCAAGAAATGTCTCGCACTCTGTGAAGGTGTACTCCTCTTCTGCGCTTCCTGTCCCCTTTGCAAGTCTCCCATGTGTTCCTGCCAAACCCACATCGGATATTGCCTGGACCGACCATATGCCTCCCTTGGACTCTCCTGAAAAACCCACCCCCTCCCCACGCCACAGGTTGGAAGACCAAGAGCCGGATTTCTACGGTCGAGTTTGATTTGCATTTATGGTCACACATCTAAATTGGTACTTTGACTTGATATATGCAATAGCTGTTTATTTGCTGATCTACCCTGGAGCCTTAGAAGGCTGAAGTCCAAGGGCTCATGATTGACTTCGTCAGCCGTGAGCCTGGTACATGGATTGGTCCCAGAGCTGAAGCAACAGGCTGTAACAAGCCTCGGTCTGCTTCCTGTCGACTGCTGAGTCTGAGATATTTCTCGAATTTATGGGGGGCGTTTGGGGGGGGGGGGGGGGGATGTGAGGTTTTTTTGCCCTGAGGCCAACGACTTCAGGTCGTGGGCATTATGGCCTCGCGCGCTTGCGCAGCGGAAGGCCTTGTCGTGCCATCCATGTTGGCGGCAGCGACATGCCAGACCGAAAACACAGACTGCAAAGTGCCCCCCCCAAGCGCAAATTGTGACTTGGAGAATGCTGATCTTGGGGGCTTGGGGGTCGGTCCGTCAGGGTCTAGGGCTCAGGGTAGCACCTGTTGCTTTGTCCGCCTCTGCCGGGGAACCAGAAGCTTCAGATATGGCTGCATAGCCGTTGCCAAATCGCGCCGGCATGTCTCGAAAGAGCGGTCTCTCTTTTGTTTTCTTTTTATCATACTTCTCAAGACTGAATCACTTGGAGAATCTGGGTAAGCCCCCCCAATTGAGACAAGCCCAACGCGTGTTCCCTTTGCCTTGGGCATGGCTTGGCTGCCCCGACTTCCATCTGCCGGCCAGGTCTTCTTTCCGGCAGAAGCAATCTCGAGATTTGCCAATTCTCAGGAGAGCTTCAGCCATAGCTCGGGAATGAGGGAGTCCGAGGTGCCCTGCATATATTCCTTAAGGGGAAATATATACATGAAAATTGCAGAGCTCCTCTCCATCCCACCACGAAAAGAATCTAAACCTGAAACACTGTTGGCCGTTTGCCTACGATCATTTCGACCTTCCTCGTTCTCCTCGGACTCTGGTTCAACTGTAGAGTTCTAGAGTTGTTTAAGGGCAGGGGTTGTGGGTATGAAGCTTCAAGTGTCAGGTTAGGAAATCGGCACACCCTCCCCAACAACAGCATCCTCGACAAAGCCAGTGCAAGTAAACCCTGAATCTGCATGTCAGCGCAAACCTTTCATATGCCTTTGGCATGTACAGGCCTTTAGCCTGGATCTGTGCTACTCTACAGGCTGGGCGCGAAGCAGAGATTTGGGATTTTGGCTGCGTAGTGAGGGTGGCAGAGCGCATGGCACTAAAGCCCACATCCTGCAGGGCTTTCCATGTCAACCAAAAATGGCGCCCACAAATATCATCAACAAAAACTCGGCTTGGCCTGCCCAACCTGTGCATGATCTCCATTTGCCCGATTCTCAGAATGCCCGCGGCGATCCGAAAATGTACTGCCTCAAGCAGCAATCTAGCAGGAACGAAGCACTTGCAGGATGAATGCTAAGATGGACTAGTGACTCATGACTTACCATCCAAGCTAACCTTTCCTGCCTGCAAGGTGCCGATCTAATGGATGCAGAGGGATGCGGAGAAGACTTTTGGGTTCAGCGATACGACTTGTTTCAGCCCTTTTGGATTCAACACAAATTTGCGCATGTGGATGCCCTGGATGACCGAGACGGCTGGGGTGACGCGCAGATCTGCCGGAACTTCGACGAATGCGCAGCACTCGGCCCCCCTCCCCCCTCTCCTAGGATTCGAAATGCCTCTACTGCGAGCAGCTGCTACAACGCTCGCCACCCTAACTCCAAACTCTAACCGCTCGGTTGTCCTGCTCTGCAAACCTGGATGTAGCCTCGTACCCTAAGAGCCTAAGGAATCTAAAGCATCTGAGTGTCAGTTTGAAGCTGTTGATCGAAGACTTGAAACCCATGCATTCGGAACTCCCAGAGCGCCGGGGTCTGCACACATCTGCTCTCAAAAACTCAAACTGCGTGAAATCTGCGACTACCCAAAAGGTTTAAAAGATCCAAAAGATCCCCTAAACTTGCTGGCGGGCGAGTTCCTGCAACTGCAAAGTTAGCGCCATAGCATCAAAACAAAACCCCTCGCATATCTAACCCGGCGCCGATTTCACAGGAAAATGAGGCGGGGACTGGTTGTGCGACTCATGCTGCCGCTCCCAGCGTTGTACCTTGAGACAAGGTGCACTGTAGCCACTGTAGCTCCTATGAGACCCCTTGAAGACGCTTTCAAAATGAAATTTTCGACTCTGACGCTGACGCACGTGCAAGGCTCCGGATGGCAGACTTGGACACGGCAATCGGACCAGCTGAAGCGACATGGACCCCTCTGTTTGCTTACTTGAAAGGCAAATGCTAGCTGCCGGCACAATCTGCTGCACAAATGCTGTGACACCCGCTGACCATCCCGTTGTGTCAGTGGCCAGTGGGAACCCAGGGTTCAACTCAACCGACAGCACGTCAACCAAATTGCAGAGACCAGTTTCAGGTCCCTTTGTGGGTCTTTCCCAAATTCGGGGTCCCCCCAATACATACATCTACGCCGCGAACCCTATCATCGGAACTCCCTCTCAAAAGGGCACCCATATAGTCGGAAACCCGAAAACTGTGCGCCAAATTGAAATCATGTGCAAAACCTCCATTGCGCGCCTCCTCCGCCCGCTCTCTGGCGCGCGAAGCCACTTCAGGACCACGGGCACGGGGCCTCAAAGCGCTGTGCAATTTGGTTTCTTTCTCTAGGCGACCGGGCTCCAGGCAGTTCAAGGTGTTTTTCCCCACCCTCGGTGTGGGGTTGCTAGCTGCTAACCTCAACTCTTCTCCTCGCCCGGTCTACTCCTCGCTCATCCCTGGAGGGCCCAAGCCCACAGTATCTCTACCCACAGAGGGTGGGGATGTTCGAAGAAAAATATTGGGGATATTTGGGGATGATTGGGGAACATTTTGGGGGACACTGTAGGGCTAAGGGTGGATTGATGTCGGTTGCTTTGGCAAGGTTGCCGAGTGTTGGCCTCACAGGGGATCTTGATTTTCTTGCCTTTGCAATTGCAAGTTTGCTGCCTATAATCCCAGGCTTTTCGGCCTGCGGGCTTAGTGCAGGCACCCAAGTCCACAACAGCGCTCGGCATAGGCACTCCTAGCAGGACTTGTGAACAGATCGACCGGCCCGTCAGACCGGCTCCCGATCATTTGCTCTTGGAGCCTCCTCCATGGGTCGGTGTCTCGAACCCT